CCCCAAAGTGGACAGAAAACAGCAAAGCGCTCACCAGATGAAGTGTGCGGTAGAGAGAGCCACCAGCCCTGTCATTCTCCATCCTGGGTTTGCGCTTGATTTTCCACAGTGCAGACATCCTCGGGGATATAGTCTCATGGTAATTCCTCCTAGCACTTCATGTGGTCAGCAAGGAAACCGAAGTTTCTTAAAATACTCAGAAAGCCCCGGCCACCTTCCCGCTTGCAGAGAGCGTTCTCTAGCCAGGATATCCCATGCTGGTTCTCCAGGGCAGACCTGTGACCACATCTCAATGCTGAGCCGACAACGGCCACAAACCCCAGAGAGGCACCTGCTTTCCCACCTGCATCAGCTCCAGGCAGCTGTCAAAGGCTGCCTTGGATAAGAACCCATGCTTTGATTTTACCTGGCTCAACAATAAAAGTCCCAGAAAGAGAGAGCCAAAGCAAGCAAGAAAACAAAGCGCAGAGTGCCTCCCCAGGCTGCGGGTGGCCCTGCCCTGAAGCCAGTGGGACCAGCTGATTGGCCAGCATCTGGAATGGCACAGGAATATTAAAGTGCCCAGCTAGGACAACTTCACAGCTCCCCTCGCTGTGTCAAAGGAACCCCCACCACACAAACAGGCTCTTTCAACTGTGTGCCCTGCCACACTTTACACTAACGCTTCATCACAGAAACAGACGCTTCCCAAGCAATTACAGCATGCATGAAAACAAAAGCAGAAGCAGTTATGAATGGAAAGGCACAGGAAAACACTGTGATACATTTTCTAACAGGAAAACAAAGTTGGGGCTACCAGGGAGCCTGGAATGCAGGGCTCCTCTGACCTCAGCTAACTTGCATTTCATTCCGTAAATAAAGAGTTTTCAATAAGAAGCTGCAAAGAGAAGTAAGTCACTAGGGTGAGGAGACCTGAGGCTGTCACCATGTCACAAGAGGAAAGAGGTGCTGCCAAAGGGAGAGTGGCTTGACTCCCCTGTCTTTTGACAACCTCGCCCACCAAGGTGACATTACTGAATCATCTCCAGTGAACAACAAGCTCAGAATTATCCGCTTGCTCAGCTCCAGAAAAACCATGCACAACTAAACCTCATATAGAGGAGAATACAAACAACTTCTCTCCGTCCAGCCCATTTAGAAGGGGACACACACACAACACACAACACACAACACACAACACACACACACACACACACACACCACACAACACACACACACACACAACACACAACACACACACACACACCAACACACACACACACACCAAAACACACACACACACACAGACACATACACACACACACATACACACACACTCACACCAACACACACACACACACCAAAACACACACACACACACACACACACACACACTCACACACACACACTCACACACATACACACTCACATACACACACACTCACATACACATACACACACACACACACTCACACACACTCACACACACACACTCACACATACACACACTCACACACACACACACACACACAAAAAAAAAAAAACCACAGATTCCCCAGCTTCACACTTCCCACCAGAGCAAAAATTGGTAATGCAGCAAGACATGACGGCGCACACCTTTAAATCCCAGCACTCTGGAGGCTGAGGCTGGTAGATGACCTCTGTGAGTTCAAGGCCAGTGTGGTCAACATAGTGGCCAGGGCTATATAGTGAGACCCTGTCTTTTAAAAGCAAAACAACACGGAAGAAAGAAAAAAGGAAACTCATTTCATTATTCTGTTGGAGGCAGGCATGTCATGGTACATGTGTGGAGGTCGGAGGTCAGTCTACAGGATTCACACAGCCCCTTCCACCATGTGGATCCCAGGGAGAGAAATCAGGTTGTCAGGCTTAGCGACATGTTCCTTAACCTGCTGAGCCACTTCGTCATCGAGCTGCTATTAATTTATTAGGTTTATTTCTCTACCTGACGAATGTGTGTGCATTCAGACAAGGCTTAATCATCCCTTCCAGGTTACAGCAGAATACAACTTAAAAATGAATTTACATACCAATATAGTCCATGCAACCAAAGCGCTTAACCTTAATCAAGAGACACTTTAGGAAGATTAAGCATTAGGAAAATGGTTAAATGGCTCATGGCTATGTATCTAATTGGCCTCTAGTACCACTAATAAATTAGTTCCCTCTTTCATGAAGCCTGGTATTTAATGTCAGTACAAAACAATCTGGCTGCAGGTAGTTTAAATGCAGGCATCAATAACACAAGGCCTGGGGCCAGACTGGGTTTTTATCTTGCTTTCAATAAGACGGAGAGAGCTGCATGTGTTCCTCAGCAAGTGTCTAGCCCAACCCCCAGTCTCCTCTGAAAACACAATTCCAGACAGTCTTTTTCAGGAGTGCTGTAAAGATGACTGTATATGAAATGGTACCTAATGCATGCCAAAGTTAGAATTAGCATGTCTTCATTATTAACATTCAGTGGGACCCGGTCACCAAGCTCTGCCAGTACAATTGGAAATTTTTCGCTTTCAAATCTCTTAAATGAGAAATTTAACCATTCAAGGGCTACTAAAAGGAGCTGGAGAGATGGCTCAGTGGGTAAGAGCACTTGGCTTACTCCAGGGTTCCTATTGCTGTGATAAACGCCACGCAAACCAACTTGGGGAGGAAAGGGTTCCTTTGTCCTATACTGAGGGAAGTCCAGACAGGAACTCAAGTCAGAAGCTGAAGCTGAGACCAAGGAGGAAGCTGCCGCCTGGCTATTCCCCGTGGCTTCCTCAGTCTGCTTCCTTATACCATTCAGGACCACCTGTTCAGGGGTGGCACCACCCACCCCCAGTGAGCTGGACCTGAACTATTCATCAACCAAGAAAACACCCCCAAAGGACTCTGATGAGGGCATTTTTTTTTCCAACTGGGATCACCTCTTTGCAGAGGACATAAATTTAGGTCAAGCTGCCAAAAAAATAAAAATAAAACCACCCAGCACACATTGCTCTAGCAGAAGACTAAAGACTGCTTCTCATTCCCCTTGTTTAACAGCTCCTGTAACTACTCCAGCTCCAGGAGATCCAACACCTTCTGCCTTCCAATATATGATTTGTTTGTGTGAGTGACCAGTAAGTGTCAAGGAAAACAATGGACAATGGAGAGATTAGCATTATCTGACAAGGTGATTGTGGAACAGCCTTAACTGTCCACCTAGACAATTAAGTCACATGAGAGAAGGCAGTAACTGGATCAGACTGGTCTTTGGGCAAGTCTCTGGGGCATTGTCTTGATTACTAATTGATGCAGAAGGGCTCAGCCCATTGTGGGTGACACCATCCTCTACACAGATTGTCCTGGACTGTACAAGAAAGTTAGTTAAGCCAAGCATGGTGGTATAACCTTCAATCTAGCGCTCAAGAGGTAGAGGCAAAGGGATTTCTGTAAGTTTAAGGCCAGCCAGGTCTACACAGTAAGACAGACACTGTTTCTAAAAACTGGGGTGGGGTGGGGAGGAGAAAACCAGCAAACTACTTGAGCCGGGGGCCAACAAGCAAACAGCCTTCTTCCATGGTTTCTGCTTAGGATCCCTGCCTTAACTCCTATCAACTGTGACCTTAAGTTGAAGGGACCAGCTCCCCATATCGGCAGCCATGACAGTCTAACACGAGTTTGCCTGACCTTGCCTTGGGCACTAGGAGGTCAGATGCCTGCCTTGTGGAAAGGAACCAATCAGAAGTTAGCTGCTGGTGCTATGCTTTATGGCTCTGGGTGTCCTTTACAGACAAGTGCACAGCAATGACCCGCAGAGCATAGCAATCATCCTGGGAGGGCCTATGGGCCATAACAACCAGTTGACCAATCAACACAGGGCAAGCCCTCCAAGCCTGGAGGCACACCAATCCTGAGCCAGTGTGTACCCCTAGACACTCCCCTTACTCTGCCCCACAAGATCTCTGTCCCGTGGCTTCTCAGGGCCTTTCCCCAGCCATCCGCCATGGGGTTAGCTTGTTAAACAACTGCAATAAAACCTCTTGCTGTTTGCATCAAGCTTTCACCTCCACCTGGTGAGTGGGGTGGCCGAGGTCCTGGGCCGAGATCCTGGGGGCCTGAGCCTCTGGGCGACTTTCAAAGTATAAGACGAAATAAACCTTTCCCTTCCCGAAGTTGATAATGGTCATTTATCACAGCAACAGGAAAGTAACTAATACAGTGATGTTTCAGGAACTCTGGAACAAATGGAGTAAGTACCGTTACACAGAACACTTGACAGGGTAGCATGGGAATTACAGGCAACAATTTCATTGTTTGACACCAAAGCATCAAAAGAAAAGTTCTGCTCACAGTATTCAAATGAAGAACAGTTTAATTGTCTTAATAAAAAAAAAAATTCGTGGATGGAGAGATTGCTCAGAGGTTAAGATCACCAACTGCTCTTCCAGAGGTCCTGAGTTCAATTCCCAGCAACCACATGGTGGCTCACAACCATCCGTTATGAGATCTGGTGCCCTCTCCTGGTGTGCAGATATACATGGAAGCAGAATGTTGTATATGAAATAAATAAATAAATCTTTAAAAAAAAATGCTTCCTTTCCCTTTAATGTAAAAAAAGTGCATCTTGAACAAGAGCTGAGAGCAGATTGCTCAAAAGCAACTCGTTACAGAGCCTCTAAGTGGCAGGAAGGCATTGCTGACTCAATTACGCACACACGGGATGACGCCTCGAGCTCCGCAAAGGAAGACGGAGGAGGGACATGGGCTGAAATTACGGCATCAGCAGGGAACTCCAGCCGTGGCAGAAATTAAAGAAAGAAGCCCTCAATTCATTACAAGTGATTTCTGCCCTATATCCGCCCATAGGAGTTTGTTACCAAGGATGTAATTTGGATTTCATATCCAGCTACTTAGAACACCCTCAGAAGCAAAAACACTTCTTCCCACCGAGAGGCAGCCTAATCACACACAGCTGCAGAGGTGGCGTGTCAGCTGTGACCCTGAAGGACAGGGATGTGAAAATGAAAATCTCTCACCTTGCTGCTGTGATCTGTGTCATCAGAAGACTCCAGGTCCGCTCCTTCGCCCTCTTCTGGAGCTATCTCAGCACTGCTGCTCTGTTCACTGCAGAGGCTGTGCCCTGCCACAGACAAGCAGAAGACATCGAAGGTCAGCATACACAGTCACAGCTAAAAGCCAGCCCGATGGCAGTGCAGAGTGAAGTGTAGGGGGGGGGGTGCGGGTGTGTGTGGGCGTGTGTGTGCCAGCACGCATGCATGCATGTGCATGTATGAGACTCTGAGTACAAGTCATAATCCTTAATTGTCACTGCTATGGTATTTCATATACATTTTTATTGTTGATGTTTGACAATATCAAGTAATTGTTATGGATTAAATATTTGTTCCCCACAATCTTTATGTTGAAACAATGACACCAAGGTGGATAGGGTGGTATCTGGAGGTGGAGTCTGAGGCGGTCACAAGGGGTGGTGTCTGTATAAAAGGTTAATGATGGAGGAAGATTCCTAGCATCAATCAGAGACCCCCACACTCACACAGACATATGCACTCCTGTGCACACATATACACACAGCCATGCACACACGCAGACATTCATGCACACAGGACACACGCACACATGCACCCACACATGAACACACGCACAGCGATGGGGGGCCAACAGTGACAACCAATCTAATTCCTGGAGGCTGTTTAAACACAGATTCCTGCTCAACAGACATGGACTGATACCCCTTTCTCCCTTTCGAGCTGCATGTCAGGGTCAATACTCAGGCCCACTGTCCACTCCTGGGGTGGAAGGATTCTTGCACAGCAACCCCTTCCTAAGCAGAATCTGAACAGGCAGGCACGCAAGGGCCACTGCCACTCCTATCTAAGGACATACAACCCTGAGGCCACACGAAAGAAACAACTGTCTGGGTCAGGACAACTTAAGGAGAGAGTAGAAGGGAGAAAGGTAGGTCTTTCCTTCAGACTATAATCATAGGACTGCCCTTGGTGGTAGCAAGGGTTCAAATTTACACAAGGTGCTCCATCTGAGAAATGATGGGAAAGCCTCCTGTCCTGGTCACACTCACTGTTCTATTGCAACTCACAAGAGAAAACAATTAACTGAGCTTGCTGATAGTGTCAGAGAGTGAGTACAGATCACCATGGCAGGAAAGCTCAGTGGCAGCCTACCAACTTGAAACCAAGCATTAAAATATCTGAGCCCATAGGGTCCATTCTCATTCAAGCCACCATACCACCCTCACAGTCTTTCTAGATTTTCATCTCAAGGCATTACAGAATGTGCAGGTGCGAAACGAGGTCAAGCAGGAAGCCATGACCCAGTGTTACAAAACACAAGAGGGCTGGAGATGTACCTCAGGGTTAAAGCTCTTGCCTAGCGTACATGAGGCTGTACACAGCTATAAGCAAGCAAGCAAGCAGCAGCATTACAAGAAAGAACACAGGAAATCTAGCTGCCTGATACAAAATGTCAAATAAAACAAGGCTGAAATTATTTTTTACAACAACAAAAAGGTGCTTTCAAAAAAAGGCCATACAAATTAATAGAATTTCTAAAACAATAATAATAATAGCTATAGCCACAGAAATTGTTGATGAATAACAATATAAATCAAAGTTTAAAAAAAAAAGATTGCTAAGTCCATCTGAAAGTAGTGCCTCATTCTAGCAAATAAACCTTCATATGAACTGCAATTTCAGGGAACAACTGTTCAAAAGTTTAGGTATGGTGTGGAGTTATGGCTCAGTGGTTAAGGCTGCTCTTCCAGAGGAACCAAGTTCAATCCCCAGCACCCACATGGCAGCTCACAACCATATGTAACTACAGTCCCAGGGCAATGCACACATGTGGTGGAAAGATATATACTCAGGCAAAACACCCACAAATATAAAATAATAAAGCAAAAAAGAAAAAAACACACACAAAAGTTTTGGAAGGTAGAGCTCGGTAGTAAGTCCTTGCCTAGAAACTGGTGAGAATCCAAATTCAGCTCCTGGAACACCACAAATAAACATCCCAGAGAGAGAATAAATAAAGACCATCCCAGAGAGAGAATACAATAAGAACGTCTTAGAAACAGAGTGAGAGCATGTACCCCACTAAAAAATTCTCTAAAATATATATTTCAGGGGGGAAAGTAAACACATAACCCCCCCCCCAAAAAATCTGGTGTACAAACTAAAATGATACAATGCTGACAACATTCACACAGGTTAGGCTCAACATATAAAACAACCCCCCACCTCCTCTCCCAGAAAGATATTTTGGTGTTTAAAACAAAACAAAACAAAAAACCTGTTTTGAAGATGCAATTAAAACACAGCAGAGGGTGGCTGAAGCCGAGGGAAGAAGAAAAACTACCTTTGGTCTCTGCTAGGCTAAGGATGATGTCCAAACTGTAAGAGCAAACGGCAAAGGAATGGGGACGGGTTATGTAAGTTGCAAACAGAATTTAAAAAGGCAATTCAGGAAAGAGAAGGGGGAAAAAGTGAGAAAAATTAAATGAGATCACAGATATGGGTCAGAATACATGGTCTCCTAAAAAATATCAAAGACTTAAATAAAGACAGCATAAAACAAAGCCTGGCAGAATGGTATATACAAGAACAGAGAAGAACACAGAGACAAGTCCAGGCATAACCGAGCACACCGAACGCTCTAGAAATGACTAACTACAACAGGCTTAGTCAGGACACCGAACACACAAACATTTATAACGGTTAAGCTTGATTTGTGAATGAGTTTCTAGCCTAGTCCCAAGGATTAGCATTCTACACAAACAAGTCATCTTCCAAAGGCCCCAACGGCTTTAACTCAGGGAATCTACATTCAAGCAGACCACACCGACAACATTTTTCCTAGAACTAATAAAAGTCCTGTAACACCCAAGACAGTAAAGGAAAAGAAAAACAAGATTGAGGTACTTCCCCTGCCAGGGAGCAAAACAATAGATAAAGTTACAGTAACACAATGCAGCACAGAGCAGGGCTTAACATAGCCACACCGGGGATGGAGCGTGACGCTCAGCAGACGCACCAGTGCAGTCAGGAACATTTGACAAATGTCGCAAGTTCGGTGGGTGGCCCACGTGGAAAAAATAACACTGGATCCTAACTCACGCCAATCACAAAAGCCAGCACTGGTAGAACAGACTCAGCAGAAAATATACTAGAAAATACAACCAACAAGAGAGAAAAAGAGGACACACCATACAGGCCTGATGCTCTTGAAAGCCATCAGCTCAACCCCTCTATCCCAGAAGCACGGTCCTGAGACGACACCAGACATCTGGGCTGACACAGGGCTTGCTTGGCCAGCACAAATAAGGTAAGTGAAAATACACACATTTCCAGCCAGGGCCCCAAGTGGCTGCACGGTTCCTGTTCTTGCCCGCCGTACAAAGAAACCCCAAACTACAATCTCAAAGGCTTCGTGAAGAGGAGGTCCCCACATGTGAGCAATGAGTGCCAATCACACAGCCTCAGTCAAGCCTTGAGTGACTCCAGGCGAAGACAGTAGAGTCTCCGACCCGCTGAGCTTAGCCCAAGCCACCAGGCTACAGAGAAAGAGTGAGGCTGTGCTGCACGGTGTGTTCTGCAACAATAAGCACTAAATGGGCAGGAGTGGTGCTAATGACCAAAGAAAACAGGAGAGAGGAAGTGACAGTGACCCACTGCAAGAATACAGAGAGGAAAGAACAGACAGCCAGGACAGGGAGCCAAGCAGAGTGGGGAAACCTACTTCCCACAGTTCAGATCCTTCTCTGGATGCCCTCATCTTAGTGGGTTTACACACACACACACACACACACACACACACACATGCATGCACACAAGTACATACACACATGCACACACACTACAACTACACATGCACACAAACACTCATGCACACAAGTGCATACATACACATACCACACATGCACACACAAGCACATAGACACACACATACATGAACACATGCATGAACACACACAAGCACACACACACACACACACACACACACACACACTTTCACAACTTGCTACAGTGGTACTGTCCTTACTACAGAATGCATTCCTCCAAACAACAGAGGCTGAAGGAATTACCCTGTTGTTTGGGGACATTTTCACCTCCACACACAAGGAAACAGCACCCACCCCCACAGCCTGCTGTTAGCAATCAGGGAAACAGCTGAAGACAGGTCTGGGAGGGGCTGAAACTGCCAGCACAAGGGGCAGTTCAATCCCAGCCCTGAGCACATGGCCAGACAGGCACAGGGAGGCTTCCACAAGAGAACCAGAAAGCCAAAGCACACTCCAGGACAGAACCTTGTGGCCATCTCAACAGCTACTACAAATAAAACCCACTGTTGTGAACACGTGAGAGCATCTCTTTGGCTTGTAAATCACTTCCACATCACGATCATGACTTTATGGTTTAAACTTGTGCCAGAGAGACAGCTCAGCAGGTAACCCACCCACCAACAAGCCTACAGACATGAGTTCAATTTAAGGGACATACACAGTAGAAGGAGAAAAGTGACACCCGAATATGATCCCCTGACTTCCACATGCATGCCACGAAAATATGTAATGTGCACATGCACATGAGCACAAAAAAGACAAAAGTAATAATACTGCAGAAAAGGTAAAAAAAAATGCAGATTCTGGCATATTAATCTTGTCACCTTGTTGAGAAAGTAAAATATAAGTACATTAGTGATTTTTAAAATTATTTCTATTTTATGTGCATCAGTGCTTTCCTGCGTGTATGCATGTGTATGTATGTATGTATGTATGTATGTATGTATGTATGTATTCTACATGCATCCCTGGTGCCCAAAGAGACCAGAAGATGATAACAGATTTCCTAGAACTGGAGTTATAGACAGTTGTGAGACACCATGTAGGTGCTGGGAATTGAACCTGAGTCTTCTGCAACAGCAACAAGTATTCTTAACTACTGAGCCATACCTCCAGCCCCTATACTAATAAAACTGAAGCCCTCCCCCCAGTCTGCAAAGTAACACCCACCCCCTATCCTCACACTGAATCTGACAGATGCCATCAATCACACTTCACTGGAAATCAAGACAGGCATTGGATCTCCTACACCCCAGCAGGTC